TATATATATATGCTTTCAGGAAACATTCGAAAAGTAAATCAGTTTTACAGTTTCATCAGAAAGGGAGGTAAAAGCAGTAGATCTTATTAAAGTTCTTAATTTTTCACTCAGTTTTTTCCTTAAGAGAATTATACTTCCCCATCATGTTGACTTTTGGCTTCTTCATATGACATGCTTTAGCCAATGGACTATACCATAATATATGTTATAATTGGGCCAAAGTTTCAGATACAGTTATATTTTTGTCAGAGCCCCTTACATGTCTGTTCTCTGCCAGTGGAACAGCATGACCCAAGTAGGAACTTCTCTTTCAGTTTTGACCTAAGAATGTGCAGACAAGATCTGCTGCCAGGTTCACTGCCGAGAGTAGGCCAGCAGCCAACCAGCAACTATTATGAGATGTAGATCGGAAGTGAGTGGTTGTGATTATAAGCCACTGAGCATTTGAATTGCTTCTATAGCAAAAGCTGACTAATACGGGCATTACAAATGGTGCCTCTATAACAAAACACTGAATTATTAAGATTAATATTTTGTGTTACTATGGTAATAAACAAAAACATGGGTAAGCTTTCTTCACATTCATAAGGATGCTTGGGATTATCAGACTTAAAACATAGGCTATGTGGCTTGAAAATATAAAAAAGGCTGAACCTGAGGTCTGAGAGGCCCAAGTGATTGCCGGGTAGGAGAAACAGCTTTGTAGATAAAGATGCCCTTGACAGAGAATACAGGTCGTGCTTTCAAATATGAACCCCAAGTTGAAGGTACAAGGGCTCCAAATTGAAGCTGTACATTTTCAATCAACCTGCAACTTGAGTGAGAAACTCCATGAAACATATTCCGAATGGGTAACAATAATCAAAAAGACTGGTTAATACTAAATTAAGAGAATAGAAATGCCACACTGAATTTTAATGTAATATCACTCCACGACAGCTCTTTTTAAAAATTACGTATCAAGTGACAGTTATGTTTCTATAGTATTTTATTCAATAGAGGTCACATTTATCTTTAGACATGATCATTCTGAAATTATCAATTACTTGAAAGGTTAACAGAGAGATGGTTCTTTTAGCATAGCCTGTGGGGAAGTGTTTGTCTTTATGAGAAAACAACTTTTGCTCTTAACTGGAAAAAAAAAAAACATATAAAAGGGATTACTTAACACAAAATCCAGTCAAAAGAGGAGAGAAGAAAAAGATAGCTTACTTCCCATTTTTCTCCTTGTTTGGAGTTTAGATAGAAGTGGTATAGACCATTATGCAATGAATTCAAAATCCTGTGATCAATTTAATCTTTATTTTCAAGGGGCGTTGGAACTCTCAATCCGTCTGATTGCCTCTGCTAATTCAGAGATTGATTAACTAAGAAGTGGTTCCTGATTTCTGAAAATCCCTAAATGGAAACTAAATGGGGAAGGGGAGTAAAGGAGAATCCTCCCTGAATGAAAAAACTTCATTATTAGGATATTTTTATTCTGGAGTAAAATCTAATAGTGTCCCTGGTAATAGACCTAAAAATCAATCAACTAACAGACTTTAGAAATCCTCTTTATCTATTACCCAAGGTCATAGCAATGACTCATCTGAAAATTCTAAGCATCCATTGCTTGCAAAACTTATACCTATGCTATTTCAGAGAGACTTTTTTCAATTTTAAATAAAAGATCTGTTTTCCATAGCCTCATATCTCTTCTTCAGGGTTTGCAAGTACTTTTTCTTCAAGTACCAGGTAATGTCTCACGTCTTAAACTCTTTTTCCGAATTCATCTTTCAAAGTCTGCAGAACAGCATAGAATTTTACTGTAGAAAGCAGTCTTGGAATTCACCTCTTGTCTCCTCTCTGTCACCAAATTCGAGAGGAGTGGAACCCCAGGAGTCTTGGGCTCCCAGTTAGGTTCTAGCAGGTTACATAGCCCAACTATCATTCTTCTTTTTATCCCTTTGTTGAGGTAGTTTGGGACGAGTAGATCTCACTACTGACCCTTTGTGGCAGCAAGGGGAAAACATTTTCAACAGGAAAGCTTGAGCTTTCACTGTTCAGTGTTTCTGATCTGATGCTGTTGATGACACTGACTTCTACTAGTTATTTAGCACATATGAATCATGTTATAGTTGCAAAATACTTTTCTATAAATAGCAACTTCTTAGCGTGAATCAGGCTGCCTTTATTGTTTCTTCCTCCCCAAACAGTTTCCCCATTCACACAGATTTGATGCACACAATACTGCCCAGATGTTTAGCATCTGCACTCATAAAGTATACATAGTACAAGCCAGAAGTTTTAGGTGAAGGGTGAGAAAAGCCTTACCTCTGAGATTCCTGGTTGCTATGGACGAAGTAGAAGGACACCTGTACCTGCTGATGGCAACTCAAGAGTTTACAGGTGTTTGAGCAAATCTCCAACTCCTAGAATCTTGGAAGATCCTGCTTTGGCCTGGAAATCTGTGGCGCAGGATAAGACAAAGTGGACAAAAGGCCTATTGGCAGGGTCCAGGCCACCTGTGACTGATTCCAACCTCAAGGAACGAAAAACAGTTCCCAAGGGAAATCCATAGAAGCACTGGAGAGGAGTGATATGCCAACACTGGACCGTTCCCAGGTGGTGTTGACAAGAGTGAACACCTTCAATGTGCTCTTGGAATAATGATTCTGAGCATACATCCACAGGTATTTCCAAAGCTGGAATAAGAATACAGCTTTCCTTGGGCATGACCCAAAAATAAACAAAATCCTCTTTGAATCGCAACCTTTGAATCCGAGTCACTCCATCAGTCTTTTCTGTGTCCTGTGAAGGCAATTTAACCATTGAACTAAACAAGGCATTTTGATTTTCAACCTTCCTTTCTCAACAACCTCCTATCTTAGCTACTCTCCTGGGAGCAGTTAGTTTTTTTAGGCATTGATTTTAAAGAAAGACCACTTTATACAAGCAGGTTGAGGGGATTTGAGGTCTTGAAAGAGTCATTAGAAATTATTGTCAACTCTTCCCTTAAAGCTATCACTGCCCCTGGGACACATGGCCTGCCAAACGGCCCCATAAATCTGATTACCCTCACCTTTCCTCTTCCTCCTTCCATGTGAAAATTTTCTCTGATTTATCAACAGCTTTAGAAAGGTTAAAAAAAATGAAACTGAACAGAAGTTCTGACCCACCACTGCCACCAGTGCACTGATGATGCATCATGGTGAATTATGTTTTTAGAGACTCAGAAGTATCAGACTGGGCTGGCCCATGTTTAGGTCATCTTCCCCACCCCCACCCTCCCCCAGTCTCTCTGATAGCCTGAAGATCCTCTAAGAGTGTACAACCTCACATGCTAGATATTCTTACCTAAACGTATATGGCCATGCTACGATTCTGTCCTCTGTTGATTTTCAGAGCCCTGCCTTATGAACTTTAAAATGTAATACCTGAATTTTATGTCCACAGAAAAAGTTAAATGTAGCCAGATGTGGTGGCAAACATCTGTAATCCCAGCACTTGAGAGGCTGAGGCAGGAGGATCATTGTGAGTTCCAGACCCACCTGGGCTACAAAGTGAGCTCAAGGCCAGCCTGAACTGCATAGAGAAATCCTGTCTCAAACAGACAAAAAGGAAGGAAGGAAGGAAGGAAGGAAGGAAGGAAGGAAGGAAGGAAGGAAGGAAAGGAAAGGAAGGAAGAGAAAGAAAGAAAGAAAGAAAGGGAAAGAAAAGAAATAGAAAAAGAAAAAGAAAGAAAAAGCTAAATGTAAGATTTGGTACTCATATTTTGACATCTTTCCCAGTTGCGGCAGCAGCTCCTTTACCATCTTGTGTGCGCTATATCCCCATTCTTGCTCTCTCTCTCCCTCTCCACGCGATCTCAGATGTTCAGGTTATCAGATGAAGAACGTAATTAACCTTCCTCACTTATGGCACGACTCCTCTTCCACTGAGCAGTTGTTTATAAGCACAGTTAAGTGTGGACCTAACTGCATCAAATTCTGTCAGAGTTCTGTTCCTTTCACCGGGAGGATTCAGTGGTCTGTGGTTCAGAATGGCTTATCAAAACCTGTTCCTGCTACTGAGCATTTTGCTCTCACTCCTTGGAGCGGATTACAAGTTCCTTTATATCAGAGTGAGAAGGAACCAGAAAACTAACCAACTAAACGGGGAAGCCAGGTCTGAAAGAGGGAGACTGTTAAAGAGCAATAAAGCCTGGAAAAGGAGTCGGAGGGGATAAGCTAAGGAAAGGGGACAAGGGGCAGATATCCAACGGCAGTGGCCCATGCTGATGAACACGTGAGGCATCACATCTACGCATCATTCAGGGGAAATTACCCTGAAAAGGACGCTCTGGTTAACTGGAGCTTTGGGGTTGTGGGGGAGATGGAAGTACTTAGACAATGAAAACATCATCTGTTGCCGTTCTCTGTGCAGCCTTAGCACACAGCCGCTTCCAGTGAGTATTTGTGTAATACATGAAGCACCGGCCAAACTAAGCCGATGTTTTCAAACACACTACAAAATTCTGTGACAGTCACTACTGTGCACACGCGGTCCCGACCTGACTTAAGGGAAAATGTAGGGCATCACTTGGGCACAGTTTGTGTGGCTGCACGCAGGGAAAGGCGAAGAGGAAACAAGGTCAACCGAGCAGACAGAAGACCTCTTCGAGTTGGTCTTTTACATTGTCTGGGTCTTGCCCAACTTCTGCGGTCTCCACCTGTGAGCCCCAGGGAACCCTGGAGTTCGAGTCCTGGGGTGGTAAGAGGCGCGTCTCTTAGGGGCAGCAACAGCACCCGCGCGCCTCTGCACAGAAGCCGGGTCGAAGCACGTTGCAGTGCAGTGATGAAATGCTCCCAGAACCCGCCCTTTGAGCCGGGCGCCTAACACGAACGGGGCGCAGGGGGTGCCTCTGGGATTCCGGGGGTGCTGCCGCCCCCTCGTGAAATCACCCCGTCAACTTCGGGCCCGCTTCTCCGCTTGCGCGCCCCGCTCGGGGGTGGTCCCGAGGTCGCCGCGCCTCTGCGCGCCTTGGGCACGGGCGGGGGGCCGAGGCGGGCAGCGCAGTGGGCGGGGGGCACACGATCCACCGCCCTCAGCGGCTGCAGCTGCAAAGGCGGTGGCAGCGGCAGCGAGCGGGGCGGAGGCTGGAGCGGAGGCTGGAGCCCCGGCCGGGAGGGAGGAGCGGGGAGGAGGGGGCCGGGAGGCTGTGCCTGGCGAGCCGGAGGGGTGCTCGGTGTTCTCCCGCCCTCCTTCCGGGAGCGAGGATGCGGGCTCCGGGACTGCGAGTGCTGGGCTGAGGCCGAGGCAGGGAGCTGCGGCGCGGCTCCGCGAGGTGTCTCCTGCGCGCGGCGCGGGGGGAGGCGCAGACCGCGAGGCGGCGGAGCAGGGGGAGATGCCCGGGGCCGCCGCCGCCGCGATGCTGCCGGCCCAGGAGGCTGCCAAGCTGTACCACAGCAACTACGTGCGGAACTCGCGGGCCATCGGTGTGCTGTGGGCCATCTTCACCATCTGCTTTGCCATCGTCAACGTGGTGTGCTTCATCCAGCCCTACTGGATCGGCGACGGCGTGGACACCCCGCAAGCCGGCTACTTCGGGCTCTTCCACTACTGCATCGGCAGCGGCTTCTCCCGGGAGCTGACCTGCAGGGGCAGCTTCACGGACTTCTCCACGCTGCCCTCGGGCGCCTTCAAAGCCGCCTCCTTCTTCATCGGCCTCTCCATGATGCTCATCATCGCCTGCATCATTTGCTTTACCCTCTTCTTCTTCTGCAACACGGCCACCGTGTACAAGATCTGTGCCTGGATGCAGCTCACCTCCGGTGAGTGCGCGCTCGCCTCGGCGGAGCCCAGGGGCCCGCGGCGCCCGGGCCGCGAGGGGGCGTGGGAGGGACCGGGCGGGCGCCGCGGGGCGCCGGGCAACTTCGTCTTCCCGGGCTGCGGGGCCAGCGCGCAGGAGCCCCGGAAGCCGGAACCCCCGGGGTTCCCCAGCCCCGCTCTGGCGCCGGGTCTGAGCCTTTCGTGAACCTCCCCAGTGCGAGGGGCGCCACCCAGAGGGGCGCGCGGGAGGCGGAGCGGCTGTCGGCTGGGTCGCTCGGAGCTGAGGGTGGGGGTGGGGGCTGCGGCTCAGAGAGGTGGGGCGGGGGCTGCTGGGGGCTAAGCAGGGACTGACACCCGGGACTGAAAAGCAAATTTGGAGACGTCTTAGTGGAAGCAGCAAGCCAGTACACTCTGCCTCTCTGTGGGACCATTTGTGTCATGGCTTCGTAGTGTGTGTGCGTGTGCGTGTGTGTGTGTGTGCGTGCGTGTGTGTGTGTGTGTGTTGGGGGAGTTGAAGTGAAACTGTTTCTGTCCTGGGCAGTTATAAATATTTTATCGTCCCTCTGGATGCGAGTAAATCCCAATTCTGGTTTGGATTTCACCCTTTTAAGAAAGGTGTAGCTTGGTGTGTTCTTGTAGCAATTTCCCAATGCGAAGCGTTCAGTTTTGCCTCCTTGTCAGGGAGCGGTCCTTCCACTTCGTCTTCAAACAGGCAGAGGTCTCGAGCGAGTCAGCGTTTCTCAAGATCTGCTTTGGGGGAAAGCGGCGTCAGGGAAGCGGGCGAAGAGAAAGCCCTGTCCGTTAGCATCTCTGATGCTGCCTGTAGACGCTAGATTGCTGCCTGCTGGGGAATATCAAAGTACTTTTTCCCCTGAGCATCAAAGTTGCTTTTTTAACCCAGAAGGGACGGGGAGTGCATTTCCTGGTGGCTTTGAAGAGTTCTGAAACAAAACTGGTTCCCATGTGCCATTCTGTCTGCCAGGCACCTTGCATGTCCTTCTTTCCCACGTCAGAGGATCCTGGGTCCTGGACACCTTAGTGCTCCACACTGTGGGGCTCCTTTGGATTTTATGGCTGATTTGGTCGTAGAGATATATTGAATGTCCTAGGCAGCTAAACTTCCACATTTGCCTTTGATTTTATTGTTCCCATTCTTTAAGGATCGTAAATATTTTGTTGTTCATCCTGTTTCTGGAAAGGTTTTCTGGGGACCAGGGATTTAATTCTTGAGTTTACCAGAGTCTTTTAGGATGATTAAATCCTTAAAGGTGCAGGCTAACCACATTAAGGTTCATGATCTTGCATCGTTAGTGTGACATAAGAAAAGAGAAGCTCGTGGGAGACTAAACTTGCTTGGAACTATTTATTTTGTATTAAATGTGTCTTGGCTGTCTTTGATTTGCATTTACTGTGGAGTGTGTACATAAAAAGCAAGAAATGAGCGCCAGCCTTGTTTCACTTGCTCCCTCATGCCGTTGTCCTCCTGAAATGTGAGTTCACCTTCGGCTCCTGCCACCCACCCCCCAACTTCCTGAACAACCCCCTCACTCTGTGTTCTTATAATAACCTTAACTTTTAGGAACTTCGTGAGAGCAGAATAACTTTGAGATTTGGAATAAATTCATGTCTCATGATTATTCTTGACACTGAGCTCCGGTTTGACTTTGAAGAGAACAGGACAAATAGGATGCTGATGTTTTAGAAAAAGATTTGACCGTGCACAGCTAATTTTAATTTTTCTGAGTTAAATGACCCATTTAGACTGGTGATTCAAATTAGATTGTTTTCCAAAGGTCTGAAAGTAATTTGCAGATGATTTCTTAACAGTACATTATGAAATATTTTATTTTATGAGATTTTTATACTCTCAACCTACATTTTCAAGGAAAAAAAGAAAATTACTTTTGGGAAAGAATCCCCAGCTTTTAAATTAGTACAAGCTACAACCGTTACAATGTTATTTTTCTTTTCTTTTCCGGAAATAGAGCACACAGAAATCATTTGCTGTGGGTTCTTGAAATTTAATGTCATGTTTTCAGGCATTTGGCATAAATATGCTATTCTGTTCCACAGTGTGCAAAACATGGTGATAGCCTTTGTATGACACAGGAGATAAACATATTTACTTCCTTTTGGGGAACTCCAGCTTTTTCAATGACATACTTTTAAAACTCTGTATTTGTAATGAAGTATATTTAAAAAAGAAGAATGTATTAGGATGACAGGTCAAATAAAAATCACAGTCAATTATATTCACAGATTTTTTTTTTAAGGAATGAGAGATAGAAGATATTTTTGAAGAACATCACGTTTAACTTGGTTTTCAGGGTTTTAAGTCTCATAATACTAATTAGAAATGTAACTAAAATTTTTTGAAAGTTTAATATCTAACCTTTGGACTATTCCTCTTTTATGTCACATAGACTTCTACGTATATAGTTTAAGTACCTTAACTAATCTCAACTATAATTTTCTAAATATGGAAAATGAGATTTAATGTAACAGTTTCTTACTAGAGACTATTTAACCTTCATCAGAAGTCAAATAATTAACTTGTATATTTAGTTATCTAGACATTTTACTATAATAACATAAATCAGAGCCAGGTGGAATATAAAATGATACCTTAAGGTGACAAAACAAGAGATCTTGTGGCAATATCATGAGAATTAATCTACTTATGATTCAGAACAGTGAGCCAGAAAAATGATTTAATTTATTGAACCTGGGAATAATATAATTCATCTATGCAGAAGTGTGATACACATACAACTGTAGACATCATTATGGACACCTTACTTTCTAAATCATTATCAACCTCCAGAGAGAGAAACTAGGAAACACAACGTTAGAAGCTAGAATACCACACTACTTTTTTATGTAACTCTGTAGTTATGGACAATCCCTAATGTCTGAAGACATAAAAGTAATATATGAAATAAGTGATGCAAAACTTCCCCAAATCTACAGACTTCTTCAGAAGAAAGGAGAAACTTTCCTTTTGTGTGTGTGATTTCTCTTATACTAAAAAAGAAGAAAATAGACCTGCAGTTACTCAGGTAGGGTAATAAAGTCTATCATTTCTTTTCCTTAAAGCAAAACATATTTCAGTCTGCTGCCAAGTCTACAAATAGCTGGATCTCATAAAGATGTTTTCTTTCTTTTGCTACCAATAAACCTTACCTTCCATTGTTTCCAGAACCCTATGTGTTCTATTTTGGACCAAAGAAATCTTTTCTTTTTATATAAGATAAAATATTAAAGTAGAATTTAAGTTTTTGTCCCTACCATGGATTTCTTGGTGGAAAGCAGCAGATGAGGAGTTACTCATTTCATCTGGACCCAGATTGGATTTCCTCATTCAGAAGAGATAAGAACAGAATTGGATGATGCCCCTCGGTTTGCACATCTCTCCTCATTATGAGTGTCCCAGAAAAAAAGGGCCACCAAGGTGAAAAGGCTTTACAGGGGGCGTTAGGCTGAGTTGTTTAGTCAGTTTCCCCAGCCTTAGTTCCCAAATTCTTTTTAGCCGTCTTGCTTTTTGAGGTTGTATAACTTTGTCATATAGATGAGATGAGCGTCAGCAGCATCATCACTGTCATTTCTTAGCCTCAAGGGAGCCTTTGCAGTGTTTTACCGTTCCTTCTCATGGCACCCTGGTATCTGCTTGCAGGCCTCAACAATGGTTAAAATTACAGGCTGTTTGTGAGTTCCTTGTCTGTCTTCCCCAGTACATTGAAAGTACACTAAGAACTTACTGTTTTTTAATGTGGCTCAGAGGTCAAGCACACGGATGATAGAGTTGAAAAACACAGCTTTGAAGCCTGACTCTGACCCTATGTGACCTGTGTAATGAGTATTTCTATCTGTCCCATGAAAATAGGCATGGAGTTATACAATTTCCAGGAGATTAATGCAAAGATTAAATGAGCTCATGTATATACTTAGCACCTTGCTCATAAGCAAGTGGTGTTATTATTACTGTTGCTGACTTGCTCTGACTGCTTTATCCTGGCACACAGTGGTTATTTAATCTCTGACGGAGTGGATATTCAAAATAGTGTTGAGTTAGTGGATGAAAAATAATGATTAGTGCAGTAGAGAGTGAACGGAGTGGTCTGATAGTTCCTGTGTGCTGCAGCGAGAGAGGAACGCTGTATGCTCTGAAAGTCATGACTCTCACCTTCCTCAGTGGCATCATCAGGACCGCACTGAGAGAGCTCTTCCATATTCTTTGATGGCAATGGCTATGATTTAACAGCTTAATTTGTGGTAACCTTTTTCCCAAATGGAGGCTTTTCTGATGTATATGTAATGATCTTTACTATAACACCGGGAGATAATCAATCATGTATCAGGCTTCCAGAAATTCTCTCTTACTATTTAGTTTCGTATAAGGAAAAAAATCGCATTATTCAAAATGGTGGTTCATGTAAGGATCAGATTAGGCTTTCGTTCCCGGTGAGAAGTGGCCTGTAGCAGGTTGGATTTCCTTATGCATTCCAGGAGCGATACAGACTAGAGAAGAAGGTGGGTTTTCTGGGCCTTCCCATTTCTTGCACCTGCGCAGACAGACTCTTCTTCGACTCCAGGGAGCCTGGCCCACCTGCTCAGGTGGGGCAGTGCTGTGGATGTGGGTCTCTGAGGCAGGTGCTCTGAAGGAGGATGAGCTTGGGGTTTCCCCAGGTGCAGATTCAGCTTTCTGCACCATCACCTCGCTTTACCCTTCAGTGCTGAAGAGTAGGGGTGCCTGCCTCCAAGAGGGGTGATTCCATGCTAAATTCAGCTTTGTGCCCAGAGACCATCTTTCCCCTACCAGAACACTGGAAACCCACTCTCAGGTACACAGGAAGACTATCTACTACTAGTGAAGGAAGTTTGTGTTTTCTAAGAACACATTCCACTTACTATGTTATACATGGTAAATACAATTCTCTCTGTCAATTTGAAAAATTAATATATTTTTAAAAGAACTTTCTATTTACCAAAACAAACTGGCAAG